CAAAACCTCCTCCAGCCCAAAGACAAGTTTTTCTTTTCACCACACACGTAGGGGGCCCAGTGCGGCTCACCACCAATCTCTCCCTGGGTCCTCTCCTTTTTTGGTACATATTTACAACCCTTTACAACTTGGAGAAGACAGTCGGCACGCTACCGCCCATCTCAACAAGTGTGCTCTTGTTCCTCACCCACGCCTCGAGACCCTTCCGTCCATTTTCCACACCAACACCGCTCGACTTCCACCCGCCGACCGCCATCTCCGCAGGCGACTCGCCCCACGTGTTGATCCAGGTAATACCAGCCTCGAGCTTCTGAATAACACTGTGGCACTGGTCGACGTCCCGACCAAACACGCCCGCCGCGAGACCGACGTCGGTCGTGTTGGCCCGCTGCACAGCCTCGTCGACGGTGTCATACGTGAGAATGCTCATCACGGGACCAAAGATCTCCTCCTTGACAATCGTCATGTCGTCAGTGCAATCCGTAAACACGGTCGGCTGGATCCAGAACCCAGACTTGTACGCCGACGGCAGACCCTTGGGCTGCGTCGCGCCGCCGCACAGGAGCGTCGCCTTATCCTCCATGACGCCCTTGCGGACGTACGCCTGCACCTTTTCGAGGTGCGTCTTGCTGTTGAGCGGGCCAAAGTTGGTGGCCGGGTCGAACAGGTCGCCCGCGCGGACGTACTGGATCTTCTCGAGCACGAGCTTCTCAAACTCGGCCTTGATGGCCTTGGGGACGAAGACGCGCGTGCCGTTGGTGCAGACCTGGCCCGAGCTGTAGAAGTTCGCGAGCATAGCGCCGTCGACGGCCTGCTCAATGTCGCAGTCCGGCAGGACGATGACGGGGCTCTTGCCGCCGAGCTCCATGGTCACGTACTTCATACCGCCCGCCGCGGCGCCGGCGACCTTCTTGCCCGTGCTCACCTGGCCCGTGAAGCTGACCTTTGCGATATCCGGGTGCGTCGTGAGCTGGGCGCCGACGTCGCCCGCGCCGTAGACGACGTTGAAGACGCCGTCCGGCACGCCGGCGTCGCGGTAGACGGAGGCGAGGTACTCTGCGTGCAAGGGGGTGAACTCGCTCGGCTTGTAAATCATGCAGTTACCGGCAGCCAGGCACGGGGCCGACTTCCACAGGGCGATCTGGATGGGGTAGTTCCAGGCGCCGATGCCGGCGCAGACGCCGAGGGGTTCCTTGGTGGTGTAGGACCACGCAGAGGGCCTGAGGCGGAAGGACTCGCCGTTGAGGCCGCCCGAGGCGACGAGGTTGGCGTAGTACTCGAGGACGTCGGCGCCGGTGACGACGTCGACGTACTGGGTCTCGGAGAAGGCCTTGCCCGTGTCGAGGGTCTCGATCTTGGCCAGCTCGTCGTTGCGCTCGCGGAGGAGGGCGACGGCGCGGAGGAGGATGCGGGAGCGCTCAATGGGCGGGGTGGCGGACCAGGAGGGGAAGGCCTTCTTCGCGGCGTCGACGGCGGCGTTGATGGACGCGGCGGAGGAGGTGTGGATGGTGCAGACGGGCTTCGCCGTCGCGGGATCGATGGATTGGAAGGTGCCTGGGGATTCCGTGTCCGGCTGGGGCTTCCCCGCATAGAAGGTGTGACGATCCGCCTCCTGCTTCTGCTCTTGTGGCGCCATGTTTGATAATGAGACTTGGGTTTTTACTTTTGGCTCTAATTGACTTGTTTGGTTGGCTGGCTCCTATATTCCTGGGGGAGGGGTATGGGTGAACAAAAAAGAGCTATGCTGGCAAAAACGAATGATACACTAGAAACGGGAAGGAATTTCTGCAAGGTAAGGGGATGGTGAATTGGGGTATAACGGGATGTGATACAAAATTCCAACAAGACGATGCCGGGGATGGGATGTCGATCGGGGTAGACGGACGGCGACACGGAGGACGGAGCGTACAGTTGCAGTTGCAGGCTTAGAGGATTTTTTTTTCTTTTCGACGGTCGTTGAGATCGGAGGGAGATCGGGATCGTACCACGGAGGAGAGGCCGGGGACCTTATCTCGAGTTCAGCTGACCAGAGTGGGTAATGGGCTGGCAAGCCGGGGTGTTGCAGATTTGCCGGGAGACACCCATGTTGCCCCACTTCGTCGGCGGTGTGATGTCATGAACCGTACGTCATTGGCCCTTCGCTCCACCCGGATGCAACAGTTTTGTCTCCACCCATTCAGTCTCCCAAGACGATGCAAGGCGGTACGTACCTGATGGGACCGCGGTGCGTGCGTTGGTGCGGTGCACATGCAGCGACCAAGAGGAAAAAAAAAAAAAAAAGAGTCGCCTCCACTAAAGAAGTTTCAGCCTTCAGGGTCCCTTCACATTTGGAGATTGGAAATTTTTTATCTTGCATCTCTGACCACCCTGTCTTTGTTTGCTGATGCGATATGCAGACGCTGCTAAGCTTTGATAGATCATATCCAACAATGTGGCTGCATTCTGTAGGGCCGTCAGATCCGTTCTTATCCCGGGCCCGGCCGCCAAAGTCGAACGACCACCTGCGCAGCCGCGGTACGGCAGGGAACTTCAGCGACGAATTGGCTGCATCTCATTGGCTACCCAGCCGGGTGGGCGAGCCACAATCGGGAAAAAGATACGGCAGGCATGGCGGAAAAGATAGACTACCTACATAGATACGGGCGATGCGAGACAGATAGATATCTCAGATATACAGAGATCGCCGAAAGAGTCTAGACTGGACCATAAGCCGCTTGGTCTATCTCGGTGTGTGTGCGTCTCACACCTTGCCTCCTCAGCCTTTAAAGGCTAGGTTCGATTCTCTGAATCGTCGGCGATAACGACGAGTTCGTCAGATCATCTTGGATGCAACGGGTAGGAGAGTTTGCATTTGACATCAGACAAAGCCCTTTTGATAGTGGAATACGGGGTACCAAAGGGTAATTCCTGGAGAGTACCTGGAAGCTGGCCGACAGAGAGTCAGGACCAAGGTCAAGGTTGCCTTGGCACACCCAACCTGGGCTAGACAAGTCGGCGGGAACCCCGGATGACGCCGACGGTTGTGACTTTGTTGGTGGTGTGTAGTCAAGTAATGGTCAACCACTCATCTTCTGCCACCTCAGCCGCGCGGACGAGGCGATAGGTCAGACAGGCAAAGGCGGCCGGGCGAGACTCGAGACGAGGTTGTAGTCCAACGGACTCCAACGCCGTGTCACCGAGACAGGGCTGTCTGTTATCGACGGATAGAATCCGAATTTTAGCGCTGGATAAAGGCGGCATGGCAGTTTGGGGAATGTCGGGTGCAATTCTTGCATATGCAGCATATTGGTTTGTCTCAATTGCCTGGGATACCAGATTGTAGGTGTGACTGGTCGTTCATGTGCGCAGTCAGGCCCCCTAGCCAAACACACCACCAGCGCGTGGGATTTCCGTGGCAAGCCGCAAACGGGCGGAATTAGTCTGTTGCGTTGTTGGTCGATGGCGCCCACTCTGGTACCGAGCAGAAAAGGACGGTTCAACATGCCTCGAGGTCACGACGTTGGATAAAGAGGAGTCGAATGAATGCAGGTGAAATTAGATGCTTGAACCTATGCTGGTGGGACATTCCGCAATAGACGGATCGAGGAGTATTGGCCGGGTGAAGCAGGCAGAGTCGAATCGTCATGATTGGCCCGTGCCATAGAAGAGCATTGCGGCACTTGACTGCCTCTGGCCATTATTCGTAATTCTTTTTCAACGACGTCGGGCAGTTTCCACCAGAGTGGACATTCGAGAAGGGCAAGAAGGACTTGGCGTGCGTGGGAAAGCGCGGTCTCCCCCTTCTCTTCCGGGGCGGCGACGAAGGAAAGAACCTTGAGCTTGCCCGAGGCTGGTGCTGCCAGCTTTTTGGCGGTACCTCGTAGCTTACCAGAAGCACGTCTTGAGCAACATCCCTGATTGGGGGCCTGCCGCCTGCGTCTTGCATGTTGCTGACCATGTTGGCTGCTGGGGATCAGGAGACGTTAGCTCGGGGTCGTTTAGTCTGTTTTGGGACTGTCGAGCCAGTGAGGAACCTTGGAATTTAGAAAATCCGGGCCTGCTTGCTGACGAAAGCAAGGATGAGGACGTTTTAGGCGGGGGGGGCAATTGAGTAAAAAATAGATAGAGGGCTGGTGAGAAAAGTACATGACACAATGTACAAAGAAAAAAGAGGATAAGACCGGCAGAAAAAAGGTCAATTGTCCAATGAGATGCCGGATCCCGCGCGGTCTCGCGCTCCCACGCCCGGATCTGTGGTGCCGCACCCACGGTGAACCCCACCTGCCAGTTGGTGAAAACGGCAGCAGCAGGTGGCAGGCAGAAACACCGAGAGAATGGAAGGATCACAGAAACTTGAGGAGAGACTCGTGCAGAAACCCGGCGAGTCATTCTCAATGCCCTCGAAACCCGCTTTTCTTCATGGGCCCCACCACCCACTTTCGCGGGGTCCGTCTCCACCGCCCTGCGCCTTGCCCGCCTGCCGTCGTTGCTGGCGCCGGCGCTGGCCTGGTGCGATTGAAAGTCGGTCGGTACCTTCCACGCGAGAACAATTTTTTTCCTCAAGCGGCGGCCGAGTGAGGGAAACGAGGCAAGCTTTCTTTCTCGAGTCTCCCCGTCTGTCTGGGCTGCTTCTGTGTCTCCGAGAAAGGGCCAAGGATGTGGATGGGTCCTACCCTCCTCGTGTCTCCACGGTATCCTACTCCGACATGCCGACTTGCCATTGATCATTGATAATGCGGCCGAATTTCCACTCATATTGATAGCTTCTGAACCTCCTTTGCCTTTTCTTCTTTCCTCTCCATCCTCATTCCTCTCCGTGTGCCATTCTTCTCCTCTTATCATCCCAAGATCTACCCCAACCTCATACCAAGATCGCCCGCGCGTTTCTTGGCTGTATTACCCCTCTGTACATACATTCCCCCGTGTGTACAAGTAGAAAAAGCTACCCCTCATCCTCTTGATTGGCCGGGTGCCCCGAGAATCTTGCTGTTTGAATACCCTCATCCTCCATATCCGCCAAAATGTCCACCACTCAGCTCCCCGTCTCCGACGTCGACCGCTACGACTATGTCATCGTTGGTGGTGGTACCGCCGGCTGCGTTATCGCCTCTCGCCTGGCCGAGTCCCTCCCCCAGAAGCGCATCCTCTTGATTGAGGCTGGCCCCAGCGACTTCATGGACGACCGCGTGCTCGACCTGCGCAAGTGGCTCAACCTTCTCGGCGGTGAGCTCGACTACGACTACGGCACCACTGAGCAGCCCATGGGTAAGCCTCTTCTGTTTCCAACAGCTCATCCTACCTCCTGGGACAGCTCACTGACATGATTGCTCCTCACAGGCAACTCTCACATCCGCCACTCTCGCGCCAAGGTGCTCGGTGGTTGCTCATCACACAACACCCTCATCTCCTTCAGACCCTTTGAGTACGACCTGAAGATCTGGCAGTCTATGGGTGCCAAGGGATGGACTTTCCACGACTTCATGCGTCTCATGGACAAGCTGCGCAACACCGTCCAGCCCGTCCACGCCCGCCACCAGAACGAGCTTTGCCTTGACTGGGTCAACTCCTGCTCCTCCGCCCTTAACATCCCCGTCCTCCACAACTTCAACAAGCACATTGCTCAGGACGGCGCCCTGCAGCAGGGTGTTGGTTTCTTCTCCATCTCCTACAACCCCGATGATGGCCGCCGGTCTAGCGCCTCGGTCGCCTACATTCACCCTTTCCTCCGCGGCGACGAGAAGCGTCCCAACCTCACAGTTCTTACCAACGCCTGGGTTTCCAAGCTCAACATTAAGGGCGACACCGTCACCGGTGTCAACCTGACCCTCCAGGATGGCTCCAAGCGCACCATAACCTCCAAGAAGGAGACCATCCTCGCCGCCGGCGCCGTCGATACCCCTCGTCTGATGATGCTGTCCGGTGTTGGTCCTAAGCAGCAGCTCAGCGACCTCGGCATTCCCGTCATCCACGACCTGCCTGGTGTCGGTGAGAACCTTCAGGACCACCCCGAGTCCATCATCATGTGGGAGCTTAAGAAGCCCGTTCCCCCAAACAAGACCACCATGGACTCCGATGCTGGTATCTTCCTCCGTCGCGAGGCCCCCAACGCCGGTGCCAAGAAGACCTTCTTCAACCCCGACGGCATCCCCGACGGCAACATTGCCGACGTCATGATGCACTGCTACCAGATCCCCTTCACCCTCAACACGGGACGCCTTGGCTACGATGAGCCCAAGGAGGGCTACGCCTTCTGCATGACCCCCAATATTCCCCGTCCCCGCTCCCGCGGTCGCCTCTACCTGACCTCGGCCGACCCCAACGTCAAGCCTGCTCTTGACTTCCGCTACTTCACCGACGAGGAGGGCTACGACGCCGCTACCCTCGTCTACGGCATGCGCGCTGCCCGCAAGGTCGCTGAGCAGGCTCCCTTCAAGGACTGGATCGCCCGTGAGGTCGCTCCCGGCCCCAAGGTCCAGACCGATGAGGAGCTCAGCTTGTACGCCCGCCGTGCTGCCCACACGGTCTACCACCCTGTCGGAACCACAAAGATGGGTGACGTCCGCAAGGACCCGCTCGCCGTTGTCGACGAGCGCCTCAACATCAAGGGCCTCAAGCGGGTCCGTATCTGCGACGCTGGCATCTTCCCCACCATCCCCACCATCAACCCCATGTTGACTGTCCTTGGTTGCGCCGAGAAGTGTGCCGAGATGATCATCGAGGAGGCCCAGGAGACTGCTCGTCTGTAAAAAAACCGGAAATCTTGTCAGAACTACAAAAGAAAGCGTTTTATGTGGAGGAAATGATCTAGAAAAGCATTTCTTTGTTTATTTTTGAGAGTTAGCTATCAGGCATTATACCAAATGATATCATGACTATGAACATTATCACCTCTATCTCTCGTTCCCCTCGATATTTGGTCGTTCGCTATGACATTGGAATCACGCATCGTGACTCCTTCGGTTGTTCGTACCGAAATGATCCGATACCACATCCACAAATCCACCATCGTGCATGAAGAGTTTTTTTGTTGAACTTGCGCGAAGACAAGGAGAACCAGGTGACCGAGCAACGCTTTGATCTAATTATCAGATTTCGATGCTGAACGTATGATCGGAATTTTCATGCATCGAAGTTGTCCACAAACTAAGGTAACTCAGCTATGCGAATACTCGGACGTTACCCGGTAATAGGGTGTCGTCGGAGTGGAATCCGCAGGATCCCCCACATAAAACCGACCGCCTCGAGAGCATCCGTCAACCGCAGATGCCGCGCCGTATATGGGTTTCCAGAATCCCACAATCGGAATCCATGATTAGTCCCAAGCCATCAGCCTGAGTGCGCGAATGGACAATGTAAAGTCGACCGACATCTTGTCGTCAAACATATCTGCTTCATACGGGCAAAGACCTCTGCAGAATGAATGAGGGGAGTTCCCGGGGGTGTGGTCTAGTGTCCCGTCCCAATCTGCAAGGGCGCGACGATCAGCACGCACAATCCCGTTGCCACCGAACCCTTTTTTTCCTGCGGTGAACTACCACCTACTTATAACGGACAGGTCGACCTCGATGATTGGTTCCCAGACGAAAAAAGTGCTCTTGGTCACCCTTCTCCTTTCGTATGGCTTGACTGAACTGGTTACCCTTTCCAGAACCCGGAATGAAGCGAGAAGCTTGTTTTTACGCGATGGGGAATTCAAATAGAGGGTTCATTCGGGTTTTGATATACGCTTGATTGGAGATCTCGCAGCGTTTTTGGACTTTTGCGCCGTCCATTTTGCCGTATCGTCACTAAGGGGCGTCACGGTTGGCGTCGTGGGCCTTTTCGATGGGAGTACTGGAAAAGGAATGATTCATGTTCCAATAACGTCGACCACCCTTGCCTACATGAGGCCTTCCGGTATTTCACTATCGAGTTTGACGCTTTTGGCATACAATTGAGTCGGGAAAGGAGGGTGAGAAGTAGGAAGGAGCTGCAGTGGTTGGCATGAATGTACGAGGTCTCGTCTATTGGGCTATTTCCTGAGCAGGTCGACGTTCTTGGATGTCAGATCTCTTGCTGAAGATGGGAAGAGGGGAATATCATTGCATAAGTGTTGCATGTCTTTGAGGGTAGTTGGAGAAGATGATGGTTCTAAGTAAACCCACTCGCCCTTTCAGCCAAGGCACAGCGGAGAATGACGTTCCAGGATGACATGGCCGTATGCCAACCACCACGACTCAATCCGTTGGATGACACAAACATGGATATGAGCCACGAAAATGTACTTCACAAGCACTCGTCACCAAAGATGAGGTGTCTGATTGTGGATGCTCGTAGTCAATATGAACAAATCTACAGAGTATATGCTTCGTCAACGGCAACATGCCATCATAATAAATACGTAGAATTTACAACCCCCTTGCTCTCCTTCGTCCTCTTCTTCTTCTGTTTACTACTCTCCTTCTCTGATTACGCACTCGAGCAATCAGGTGACCAGGAGCTAAAACATCACGCCCAAGATCTAACCCGCCTCCTAAGCTCACGCAGCGCAAATGCTAGCCTGGCGCCCAGCCCCCTTTGCAACAACGCTCGGCACATCAGCCGCGGCGTCGAGGGTATACTCGTAAAACGTCTTGGGATCGAAGACGGTGCCGGCGTTCTTGGCCGTGGTGCCCGTGGTGCCCTCGAAGACGTTGCCCGTGGCGCTGAGCTTGGCGCTGGCGTCGAGCTGGATCGGGTTCTTGACTTTCTCGAAGTAGCAGTTCTCCATGCGCATCTCGGTCTTGCCGCGGGCGTAGTGGCCGTACGAGGTCTGGCCGACGAGGTAGTTGTTGTAGAGGTGGGCGTGTTTGACGTTGTCGACCGAGGGGTTGCGTTGCTTGGTCTGGTCAAAGTAGTTGTGGTGGATTGTGATTTCGGTGTTGACGTTGTCGGTCCAGCCTGGAAGACGGGAGTTTGTTAGAGAAGAGGGGACAGGCGGAGGGATTATGGGTTTACTTACCAATGCCAAAGGCCTTGTTGTGGTTGCGGAGGATGGTCCAGGAGACGGTGAGGAAGGTGGTGTCCTTGCGGCTGTCGATGAGGCCGTCGCCGCCCTTTTCGAGGTGGACGTGGTCGATCCAGATGTTGGTGCAGTTGTCCATCTGGATGCCGTCAAAGTCCTGGGTCTTGCCCTCGTCGTCACCTTCGACATAGGTGTTGCCTAGAAACTCCATGTCAGTCATTCGATCTCGTGCCGGGCTGACCAAATCGATGGGCGTCAGGATACTTACCAATCTTGATGTTGCGGAAGATGATGTTCTTCTGGTTCTGGACGTTGAAGCCGCCCTGGTCAATCTCGGCAGTCGCACCGATGCCGACAATGGTCTTGTCGGACGAGACCTTGACTTCCTTGCCCTTGGGCATGATGGTGATCTTGCCAGAGACCTTGATGACGTACTTGCCCGACATACCGGCGTACTTTTCGAGATCGGCCTGAGTCTTGACGGTGACGACCTCGCCGCCCTTGCCGCCGGTGGTGCCGCCATTCAGGGAAGCGAAACCGTCGGGGGTGCCGCTGCAGTCATCGTCCGCAGCGGCCTGGGGAACGGGCGTGGAGGAGGCCTTGACGACGGTCTGAAGGGTGGTCGGCATAGGGGTAGAAGCGGGCGCGGCATCGGCAGCCACGGCAGGGGCGGAGACGGCGGCAGATAACTCCAGTGAGACGGAGCTGGCGGCGCTTCCGCCGGTGTACTTTGAGTCGATCCAAGATGTGGAGCCGAGGACATCGCCAATCTTCACGGCGGCGCTGATCTTCTTGGAGAAGCTGACGCGGGTGCCGCTGGCGCCCTTGCCGGTGTTGGCGTACTCCTGGTAGACGACGTTGTCGGTCGGGTTAGACCCCCACTTGGACCAGCCCGCGGCGTTGACGACGGCGCCGAGGTTGGAGTTTTGGACGACGACGCGGGCGAACGTGCGCCAGGGCCGGCCGAGGAAGGTCTGGCCGTCGCCGACGCCGGAGAGGGCCTTGACGGTGGCCTTGTTGATGACGTACCAGGACGGGTTGCTCGAAGAGTCGCGGCCCGAGGCAGTGATGTAGCCCTTCCCGCTGATGGCGATGGTGCAGGCCTCGAACCAAGTAATGGCCTTTTGACCGAAGATGAAGTCGGTGGCGCCCTCGACGTACGACTTGTGGAAGTAGTGCTTGCCCTGGTTGGAGAGGATGGTGTCCTGGTAGCCCTTGGCCTGGATGCCGTAGTACCCCTGCTGGTTACCGTAGGCGCTCAGGGCGATGGCCTGGATGCCCTTGCCGCGCGAGTTGACAATGTTGATGTTGTAGACCTTGAGGTTGTCGTTCTTGGCCCGGAACGTGCCGGAGGCGTCGTTGCTGCCGGCGACGTCGGCGCCGAGGCTGTTGGTGACGGTGACCTGGTTCTTGGAGTAGTCCTGGTCGTCGGCGGTGTAGCCGTAGATGGTGAGGGCGCCCTTGTTGGCCGGGATCAGGACCTGCTCGTTGTAGGTGCCTGGCTGGATGAAGATGACGGCGCCGCTGCTGGCGGCGTCGACAGCCTTTTGGATGGAGGTGTACTTGCCCCCGGACTTTGCGACGACCAGAGCGCCGGAAGGGGGGGATGTCCGGGCCGCGCCGAATGCGCCGGCCACCAGGGACGACAACAAAAGAAGGGAAGAGGCAAGCATTGTTGCGCCGAGGGAAGAGAAAATCGGTATAGGAGAAAAGAATGAAAAGAGTCCAGAGGACCGAAAATGAGTGCAAATGGGAAGCAAAGAACGGAAGGCTTCGAAACGAAGATCAAGAAGTGCAACAACAACTCAGAAGAAACAAGCAGCCTATACATTCACCTGGGTATACCTGACATTTTCTACTCTACGCTTTACGGAGCCATCCGAATTGTCAATAGAGAACACCTCCTGAATTGAGGTGATCCTTGGCAGAGACCGTACTGCAACTCGCCCTTTGTGAATTTGTACCAATACGACTTTTGACCATGTTTCTTGGCATGCAGCGTCCATGATGTTTCAATAAGCTCAATCCAGCTCTAGCCAAATCCACCCGCGCGACTCCGGGGGTCTGTACGAGATGGCGCCAAGAGTCTAGAAATCGATAATATGTATACTTGCAACAAAATAGCAGAGGTCACCGTTGACGTGCGGGATGTAAAAGTCCTTGGGATCCGCCGCACGGAAATTACACTTCTGTTTGTGGGCGCGTCAATGGCTGAGTTTCAGGGGGGAGCATGCCGCAAAGAGCTCAGAGCTGTGCCCGTGTTTGCTCATTTTTCCGACACCTGCTAGTCTGTCAGTAAGCAAGCCCCGACTCGCCCGTAGGCGCCGGTCCGCGGGGTGGTCTGGAGTCAGGCGTTTGACTCTGAGTGGGCAGATCATTGTCTGACAGGGCCCCAAGCATGGCAGGCAGGGGGTGCCATCCAAGCATATACTTAGTACAGTGGAGCCCTGTTTCCCGTTGAGAGGGCGATTCCAAGGTCTTGGTCTAGGGTTATGGCTGCGAGTGTTTCCAATTAGGAGAGCAGATCGCGGACAACTTTATCGGTTCCTGCACTTGATGGGCGGCTGGAATTGGTGAGCGTACGGATGTAGACATATCGTACTCCATACTTCGAGCATATAGTTCATTGAGAGCGATTGGCCAGAGAATCCATAGAAGGAGGTAGTTCCGTCGTAGTGAAAGCGAATGCGAGATCAATGGCCAGACGCCAGCCTCTGCCGCTAACGGGGTGCTGATTTCTTCCGATTTCATTGCAGCCAACATTGCCGAATTGGGTTCTCAAGTCGGCTGTCGATTGGCTCTTGACAACTCCCACGGGCTTTTCCAGGAAGTATCGTTCACAACTTTTTACTAATGCTAACACGAGTTGTCCTTCAGAGTGCCCTTACTTCTCACACTTTAAACAACAGCGAACTGAACAGACAATTCTTTTTGTCAATTCATCAAGTTAGTGCCTATTGTTTCTCTCCTGAATTTGAACAAAACTGGGAAAGGTGCAGTGACCAGAGTCAATATCCGAGGGCGTCGTTTACGTGAAACGAAATTGCTTGGCGCTCTTGTGGTTCAATAGGGGGCTTCAGGTCAGACATCTTACTGGTGCAACATCTCGCCAGTGGCCATTAACCCATTCGGTATGTAGCAACGATCATCGCATCAGCTTCTACCGACTCCGGAACTCAACAAATCTAAAAGACTACACGTGCGACAAGCGAAGAGAATGCTGGTTCAACATAAAGGTAGAAGAAGATGTATGAAGGTCATGCAAGTAGCGCACGCGGTACATCAGACACTTGGCAGCAATCTCAACAGCCGAGAGTTACGGCTTTACATTCGTTCTGCTGATAGATGATGCTCTAGTTGTAGACGATTTTGCAAGTATGATGTAGCGCCTGGCAGCCATTGGTGTTGCCCTCCCCGATCTCGGCAGAATGACGATATCTTCGTCTCTTAAATTAAATATCTCACAAACACAGCCCAAGCACTCGCAATAATTGCAACCAACAGCCCGAACGTCAAAGTAGTGAACCACTTCTTCGACGTCCGTCTCGTCAGCGGGTCCGCCTGCCGGTCCACAATCAAGGCCTCCTTCGCCTGTCTCTGTTTCCTAGTCAAGGTCATCCCCTTACCCAAGAATCGATAATCAACGATAATGTACGACAAGCCCAGCACAAATGCCCATGCCTTAATAGCAATCGCCACGGTCAGGACTTTGGAGTAGCCGTTCCCCTCCGTATCGTCTTGAAGCGCGCCAAAGACAACGTCCATCTAGATAGTGAACGTCAGTACCTGTTCCAAGTATTTTCAAGAGCAGAAGAGCAATGGAAGATTTCAGGAGATATAAAGGAGTTCCGCTTACAATCGTTGACCCAGAGTTGTTGAAAGCTCTCCACACCCCGAACGCCGTCCCAATCTTTGCCTGGTCCGCCACCAGCAGCGGGATACAAATTTGCAATGGCATCGAGTTGATCACGCCCGCCAAGCTAGAAAAGACAAGCGCCGCAAGTGGATGGACATCGGTGAACCCCAACATTGCGCAAGCAATAATCCACAACACCGGGGCTGTCGCCACGTAGTGAAACCGGTGTCCGTACTTATCTATAGCAAGACCGACAAACGGGCTCAGCACAATGGGCAGAATCTTCTGCGCAGTCGACAAGTACCCCGCCACCGCCTCCGTATACCCCTTCATGAAGATGATGTCGGCCGAGCTGGTGCTGAAGCCACCCGCGGCACCGCTCTGGAGCAGCTGCGTCGCGGGGAGCATCAGGTAGGCCCATGGCAAGGCGAACAAGACGTTCCAGGAGAAGCGGCGGCGATCCGAGAGGTTCTGCTGCTCGGCGATGGCGCGGGCTCGGCCCGAGGTTAGTCGAAAGCGAGGCGGGACGGCGAGGCGCTCGAAGGTCACGTAGGCGACGTTTACGATTAGGGAGAAGCCGCAGAAGAAGACGGGGATCCAGAATGTCCAACCGTACCAGCCTGTTCCGTCGCGGATGGGGATGGCGACCATGCCCGAGACGAGACTGACCGTGTTGGCGATGGCGGACTCGAGGCCGAAGGCGAAGGCGAGGCCTGATGCGCCGAACCAGTGGTAAAAGAACTTGAAATCCCGTCAGTCGAGATATTACCAAAGAGTGCTAACCATTCATCCCTAAATGAAGAGGACCAACTCACCTTTTGCGTAGCAGAGTCAAGCACCGCAATCCCGAACCCCATGAGCACATGCCCGCTCACAAGAACCCTCCAAAGCCCAACCTGCACCCCGGCCGCCGCAACCACGGACCCGACGAGGATCACGGCGGTACAGCACAGCGTAACGAGGTTCGGTCCCCACCAGTCGAGCACCAGCCCTCCAACAATGGGGAACACGGTGTTGACAAAGGCGTCGGCGCTGCTGATGACGCCAAACTGCGCGTTGTTTACGCCGAGCTCGTTGCGCAGCGTATTCTTGAGCGGGCCGAGAGCGGAACCCGTCCAGGTGTGTCCGATGGGGAGGGAGACGATGCAGAGGAGGGCGATCCATTTGTAGGACCAGGGGATTCGTTGGAGGGTCTCGTCTTCGGTATCGATGGGGGGCAGGTCGGCGGGCGAGATACCGAGGGCCTGGATGTCGATGTCTGGTTGTGTCTTTTCTTCATCCCGTACGGGGGCTGGCGCTTCTGGGGTGTCTGGCATCTTGATAACGGACAGTGTAGGCCACCAAGCAAACTCGCTGAATCTGTAGAAAAGTTTTATGGCTTGTGGAAACACTCACAAATAAGTCTCAAGAAAAGATATTATATATCCAATTCTCCGTCACACTTACAACAACGTCTCGGGCAGAAGGCCGAGCATCCTGCAAACGGGGCCTCCATTGATTGCTAGCCCTGCATCTTATCTGATCCATCTGACAAGCTCTACAGAGGCATTGATCTGATAAAATGTCGCAAACCCCATTTTAGCGCTCAGCGTGCCTATCACGACCCTCTTGGTCTTGGTATGGTGGTCTTGGCGCTCACCGCCGCACCCCATATCAACACTTGGCATCGGTCCTTTCCAGCGTTGAGGAATCTTGGCAACAAATGTCAACCGCGCCCAAAGAATCCATGGGAGAGGCGGAGACTCCGTCTGGCGGCTCTAGAGAAATCTGTCGGGAAACTGGACTTTTTTCAATAGTCCATGACCCGTTTCTTGGGTTCTCCATTGAAAGTGTTTTCGGTTCATACCTCGGAGTAACACTCGTTAAAACTCAGGAATTCTTCATGCTGATAGTAAATAGTGCAAACGACAAGAATTCAGCCGAAATTTGGAGTTAGAATCGGGCCCCCAGGGTTGAGTTTATTGCTTTGAAATACTCAGACATCACCCGCATTTTGACGTAGATCTATCAAGATATGCATGGCACGAACTTAGTTCAAAGGCTCACCAGTTCAATGTCGTTCCTGTTTTCTTTCGGTATCCCAAAATTTCATACCCCTTCACTCTGTATCAGAAAGAAATTCCGGGATTCGAATTTCTCCTGACAGAATTCCATAGACAACCGTTTTCTTGGGCAAAAGTATGGGTGATAACTTCCCAATCTTTAGGTGCACCAATCAGCTAATCTTTTGACAATATCAAATGTCTTGGCTCTTCTAAGCTCTTTTGAAAAACACTTAAGCATGTAGCGCTTTCTCCTACTGTATATCAACAGTCTTAGGTTGAGACAAAGATATCCAGCATGATAAAGAACGACTGTCTCGATGGCTGAACGTCCCGTAGTCGATATGAATGATGTCTGTCTATCATGACCATGCACATACAGATATTCATAGCAATACTACTCGATGTTATGTACTAACAGTCTAAACGATGAAACGTTGACTCATGCCTTCCCGTTTAGGCCATGTATGCTTCGAAGCATGGTGACATTAGGTAACAGCCATCCAAGCCCTTCGTAGCGCAGCTTTGAAGCTGGCCTCCGCCCGTATTTTGATGCCGCACAAGACAAACTGTATTTGAATGATCTCTATCAACGATCAAAGTAGAAATCGAAGCCTTTGAGCTCTGTCCACTTCTAGGCCTTTTTGTCAGACACTATGCCTTCCTTCTTTCACGTCAATGATCTTTTGTCTAGTCCAGCAACGCCCATGCTTTGTTGATAAAAGCCTCTTGAAGGTATGCAAGTCTTGTTTAGTGATCGCAGCTAAGGAAAAGC